TGTTTTGAATGTAAATACATGGGACTTTTTGGTACCGCGATTTTTTGGTCAGCGACGACAAATTTCCCACCTGTTATCAAGTCCACAACTTACGAGTGCAAGTCCAAGCAGTGTGACCATATTCAGTATATTTTTTTACTTTTGGTAAAATTTCGACAATTTTGATAGAAATTTGGTAAAAAAGATTTTTTAGTAAAATTTTGGTAAAATTTCTTAAAATTCAAGGATTTGGTAACTTTTCAGATCAGACTGTAGTGATATTCAATTTCAAGTTTAATTAAAACATATATACAGTGCAAAACATCATGCTCTTGCGACAAATGGTAAACATTTAAATTGAACAGAATATTAAATTGAAAGTAGCATCTTAACATTCACCTTATCATCTGTTTTTCTGCACTGAAGTGCAGTAGAGCTAAAATCGATATGTCACTTATATCGTCTTTTTGTCACTGATACTATTTTTTGTCACCGACACTGGAAACTGATATCGTTTTTTTTGTCACTGCATGATATCGCTTTTTGTCCCGCATTTTAATAATTCTGGCCGTTATCAAAGCACAAGTATATAGGCTAATAAACATGTTGTCATAATCAGGACGAGGCAATAACATGCAGTTTTATCGCTTTCAGGACGATATATAAATGTCCCTCGTTCGCTGCGCTCACATCATGATATCATTCCTTAAACGACAAAACTGATATCACCTCGCCTCTCATGTGATAACCTATACACATACATATACTATATTGTAGCTTATTAAAGTTAATCAGATGATAATTTTGAAATAAAATCAAAATATCACAACCTCATTTTTCGTTTTGTTTTGACTAATACCTTGGGTTTAAACTTTGAGGATATATATCATGCTAAACTTTGGTTTGTGTTTCATCTTACATTTACTATTACTGCATTTCACTGTATATTTTTGGTGGTTTATTATTAGGTGAACAAAATCAGAGATTTTATCAGAGAAAAAAATAGCCAGGTGCCGGCTTCTATTGAGAACCCTGACTGCTACCGATAAGAAAATTCGGCCACATACCATAATTCATTGAGTGTGCCATGGTTGTGGTGAAATTGTGTTCTGACTGGGGAGTGGCAGAGGTGGTAGCCGTAAATTTTGTTACTCGGGAGGTGGGGCTCTGGAAGAACCATGACCTTTTTATTCGCGTGGAAGAGGAGGAGGATGGGTTCCAGGAGTAAGCCAATTTTGCAGAAGTCCTAGATATAATTAAACAATAAGGGTGGGTAGTAGCGAAGTAGTTGTAGTTCGCTACTGTAGCCAACTACAAATTTCAAGTAGCCAGTTGTTTTTGACTACTTTTTTAAAACAGTAGCTGTAGTTATAGCGAACAACATTTTGCCTAAAAGTAGCCAAGTAGTTGACTACTTTTCAAACAGCAAACCGCTATTCGCTACTTTTTAAAATTGTTAGAAAAGAATGATATTAATTAAGACACGGTTTGCTTAAAATCAATACTCAATAGTCAATTTGCACGAATAAAATATGCCGTGTAACTGTGCAAGTGCCGTCTTATTTAATAATTTATATTCGCCACTTCCCACTCTTCACAGTAAAGATTTTTTTAGCGCAATATTTTATATTTTTCAAGCCTCGATTTGTTATGGGTTACATTACAGCCTGAGCTAGTAGATGTTCCAAATACAGTAAAACTAAGAAATATAGTGTAGCGAAATAGTTCGCTACATGTTTTAAGCAGTAGCTGTAGTCAGTAGCGAACTATACTTTTCTTGAAAAGTAGCAGTAGTTGTAGCTGACTACATATTTTTAAAGTAGCTGTAGTTATAGCGAACTACAAAAATTTTGGAGTCAACCCACCATTGATAAACACACAAAAGGGCACAAAAGTGTGTTGAGATTAACCCACTGAGTGGCAACATTCTTCCACTGACAAGTAAAATTATCTGGGGCTAGATAGAGTATCACCTCTGTGAAATATCTGACCAAGCGTGGTCACTATGATGGGTCATTTATTTTGCATGTGCAGGTGCAAAACACATGACCACTTGCTAAATATATACAGTACCTCAGTCAGTCAAAACAAATCTAGAATTTTCTGCATGACACCGTATAATTAGTGGGTCATTTCTGAAAAGATCGACAGTCCCCCAACATAGGACATTTTTGCAGTCATAGGGGAGGGGAGAAAATATGTTTCTGATAATAGTAAGTATAAAAAAAACTGGAAAAACTCAATAAATATAAGATGTTAAAAATAATGTATTGCATCCTCGTTTGAAACTGTATTTAACTTGATACCACTTTCGATCCGTAAGCTCGGATCTTCATCAGTGCTAATAATATGTGACTTGTTTAATTTACACGCCCTTTTTATATACAAAAGTGTCGTGATCTGTTGGCTCGCGTCATTTGAAATTTAATTAAACGGCACATCAACCACGTCATTTCAAACGTAGTGAAGTCACAGAGGAGAGAGAGTACAGAAAGGAAACAGACACCTCGATCAAAGAGTAAAGATATAAAGAGAGTTCACTCGGTGAAAAATGCAGTGTTTAGGAAGTCACACGGATTTGCGAAGCTGACGCCATTTAGACCAGGGCCGTAGCGAGGGGGGGGGGTATTGGGGGGCGGGGTGGTTAACCCCCCCCCCCAACTTTTGTAGAATTGACATATTCGGAAAATCGGGTTGGCCATTCGGAAAATTACGGCAATAATAGTATAACAAAATTTTAGTTGTTTTAACAGAGAAAATATTATAAAATGGTATTGTCAGTATAAACCATTGGTATTAAACTGATTTACGAAATCACGGCATTTACATGGATCGGTAAAACAAATCGTAAATCGGTAAATGTTTTTCGGTTTATTACTTCTCAGGGCCGTAGCAGTCGGGAGGAGGGACTGGGGGCAGCAGCCCTTACAATAATTTGCTGATAATCATTCTTTTTTCAAAATCATGCACACCTTTATCAGCATACCTTTAAAATACTGACAATAGACTAGAGGTGTGCATCGGATCGGATTGGACGTTTATAATCCAATAATTTCCGGCCTAATGTTTAAAATCCGATCCGCAATTGTCTAATCCGAATCCGATCCGATTTGAGTTTTGAAAACGAATTCCAATCCGATCCGAAGAATTCTTTAATAAAAGCAAGAAATACATATCAAGAAGCTGACAAAGTGACGTCCAATTGAAGTATCAAACGAATAATGCAGCGACAACCGCGATGATACTTTGATAAATGCATGGATAATTAATTCTTGCGATAATGCATGAATAATTAATTCATTTTATTTCGGATATCGAAGTCCGATCCGACTACGAAACAACTTTATCAATCCGATCCGAAATTTATATTTTGGTTCCGAAATCCGAACGAATCCGATCGGATTCGGATCGGATTTGCACACCTCTACAATACTGAGACCTTTCCCCTTTTGAGTGAAATTTTGATCTAGACAAGCCTGGACAAAAATTTCACCACAGCTTGAAAGAGCATCACAAAATTAGTAATATTCCAAAGTTTCGTTGAATGTTGTAAAATGCGGATAATATAGCCTTGCGTAGTTTGCCGTTTTTCAGTCATTTTGCATTACAAACGGGAAATTGATAATCAGATAATCAAACTGATTATCAATTTCCCATTTGTAATACGATGACTGAAAAACGGTACTTCGCAAGGCTATATTATCCGCATTTTACAACATTTCGCAACGAAACTTCGGAATATTACTAATTTTGTGACGCTCTTTCAAGCTGTGATGAAATTTTTGTCTAGGCTTGTCTAGATCAAAATTTCACTCATAAGGGGAAAGGTCTACTGATTAATTTTAAGCGGCTACATTGTCCATGACAAACCGCAAAGAATCATATTACCCATACTCTTTCCTGCAATATATAGTTAATTAAATACGCGTTCGCCCATTTAGTTCTACTAAATTGTAAGCAAATTGTAAATTTCGGCATACTAAAACTCTATTAACAACTCGAACCGACTTGACCACGTTGCTCAGTTGAAGTTGCTCAGTTAAAGAACTCACTAAGAGTCTATCAAGTTCAGAATAAACTTTAAAACTTGCTGAATTATATTATTAACTACGCGAATACAATTTTTAATTTCTTATCTATACCTGAGTTTTTGACGTTTTCTCCTTAAAATATTTGAGCAAGTATCCTTTGGATCGTTGAATGTAACATAGGCGTTGTTATTGGTTTACTTAATAAATTAACCTGAGTATCAGGCTCTATTTTACAAATTTTACAAAAACTTAACCTGATCGCTTTCCACCCACAGCAAAGTCTATATTTAGTATCCAATCAAAATGTCGCAGGAGAAATTTAAATTTCACACAACGACAGCAACAATCTAATTGCTGCCTTGACATGAAGTATTGCGTGCCTGCGTGTACTTGTGTCCAGTCTCTTTGGCCGAGTTATGTATGGTCGATCGAGATTTCGATTTGTGTCTTCAGTGTCTGTCTGTATGCATGTATGTATGTATTGTTATGGTGCGTTATTTATGCGTCAAATATATTTTCCAATTAGGTATTTTTTCAACCTTTAGGCTTCGGGTTCAAATTATATTAACGCTACCGTAACACAAATAGCATGAAACCTTATACCTTTTATATATTTTATTTACTTTCAACAATATGAATTAGCGTCTCTATAATGTTATAATAATATAGTAATCTTAATATATCAACTTATCTCTCTATTTGTTTGAGCTGAGCACAACTTTGAATCTTTATTCTTTATACTTTGTATTCCGTCTTCTTTGATAATAATTATTCCACAATATTCCAATGTTCTTCAGTTTACTTGACGAGGCTTAATTATCTAGCCTTTTAATTATATACTTCAGCCTTTGTTGGCTTATGAAGTATTTTAGCCTAAATGGCTCTTCTCACTTCACTCTCCGCTCTCGACTCTCAGGTTGTGCTCAGCTTTTATAATAAATTTTAGAGGAAGAAATCTGTAACTGTGACTAATTTCCTCTACGCAATATGTTTGTCAAAGCAAGTTCTAGCAGTGTTTATCAACCACAAAACTATGTCCTGTTTGCGTGGTTTGTGGTACTAGGCGTTTCCCGTGGTTCTTTAATCTCTCTGAATATTTGCTTATTCATGCGAGGAAGGTTGCCTAAGGTCTTCCTCTTATAATTATAACAGTATACTGAATATATAGTATTGAATATATTAAATAACATGGTATAACACTGCCATGTTACAGTATGTAAAGATGTCGTAATTCCGGGGAAATAATTAAGGCTTCAGGAAGTTTTTTTAAACGAGGGGGGCGGTCAAATTTATTTTGTATTGCGCTCGCATGATAGATTTTGCACATACTGTATGTTGGATTTTAACAAATCGACAATATTTGAATAATTCAGGTAAGGATAGCTTTATTTCTTTCTGGTAATATTACATGAAGGCATTTATATTTAGATCTGCTGTTAAAACTGTTCGATATGAGGTATTTGAAACAATATATGATCAATATGATTTCGCAAATTTATCGGCAGAGCGTCTTTATATTTTATATACAAGGAGGCAAAATGACAAATGTACTTTTGGTTTTAATATTTGTTTGTGTCAATTGTGTGGCGATGTGCCAAGGCGATGAGTTTATAGTGTTCCAATTCATTTCTAGATATTCATAGACATAGCAATGTGCTTTCAGCACATTTTAAAAACAAACGCGGAATGTTGTGTATGCTTTATATTTTGTAAAGATATTCCTACAGCAACCCATGCAGTTTAATAACCCAGTGTGGATTGTTGTCTATTTATATTATATTAAATTATAAAGTATATATATTAAGTATACTTTATAACTATACATCAGTTAGTCGATAATGCAATCTGATGGCGATTTAATATAAGCTACATTTGCAATATATTTCGCTAATTTGCGATTATTTTAAATTTTACTGCAGTTTTAATTTAAATTCAGCCGTTTAGTGTTGTAGTTGTGATCGTTATAAAATGTATCAACAACAATAGTATAATCTATAAGTATATAACGGTGGATCTGCCGTGCGATATTATAGTATCCCACGCTGGATTGCGAAATCATGAATTTGCTATGAATTTGAGTGAATACCGTAAAAAATCACACTATCACGTCACAGAATAGATACCGGACCAGAAGGGACACTCCTATGTGTTTTGACTGAAGGAAAACGTCCGAAATTTTTTTACGTGCAATGACGCCATCCTGGAGTGCACACGGCACTCTGTGTGCACTCCAGGATGGCGTCATATGATGGCGTATTTTCACGTCAGCACTCGTAAAATTTCGGACAAAATATCGTCTGAGTGACACTTCTGGTTGTGTATCTATTCTGTGATCACGTGGTACAAATGCTGTTTTTTCATTGGACAATTTGAATTTGAGGTATAATATTAAGAGTACGTCACAAATATACTAAAACTCTGTTTTCTGACCATCAGAATTCTGTCAAAACTTCTCCAAAGTCCAGGAAATGGCATTTCAGAGAATCTAAATTTAAAAATTCCCTCGGGCCTTCGGCCCTCGTTCCCAGCCCCCAATAAAAAAGAGCTTCCTACGGCACTGCATGCTTCTGTAATATGTCTTTGCGTTAACTATGTGAATTTTTGTTTGTAAATTGCATCTTGCGTCATTCGTCATTCGGAATTTTTTTGCCTACACCCCCCCCCCCAACTATACATGCTAGCTACGGTCCTGATTTACACGCCATCAAAAGCAAATTAAATATTCCAAAAAAAAATTAATATGCCAGCAGCCAGTACCGTCGCTGCGTCGGTTTTCAGTCAAAACTATAGGGAAAACACAGTTCGAAATGCAAAAAGTGGCATTTTTAAGGAAAAGACGCTTTTGTGCTTCATATCTGGACAAAATTTTTCAACAATAACAGTAAGTGATCTTTTCTATTCACATAAGAAGTACGGTTGAGCTTTTGAAAAACTTTTATTTGATTTTGAAAGTTGAAGGAGCGGTCTGCCCACAGATTGTGATATCCTATAAAGCGAACAAAATTATTTGCCAGGAATATATTTCAGTGGCAAGACTCTCTCTATTTTCAAAGACTTTTCAAATACCTTTGAGAGCAATCAGCTGTCGAAAAATTGCGAGTGTAAGCACCATTTTCACCCGTGGTAATTAGTCCCGTCAAATCACATCCTATAAAATGCGCCTTTTCGTCGATATTTGCGAAATTCTTGCTCAATCAATCTATTTTATTAGCTAGGAAATCGAATAATCAAATACTCACTGAAGAATTTAAAGACTTTTAAAGACTTTCTTCACTTTTTCACACAATTCAAAGACTTTTCAAAGACCTTAAAGACCTGCATTCAAATTTAAAGACTTTTAAGGATTTCAAAGACCGCTACGAACCCTGTCTCTGCTTGGCAAGTTGAGTTTGTACTTAATGGGTTAATATCCTGACAATCAAAATACACAATTTAAATCAGATCAACACACGTATCGAACTCTCAAAGACTGAGACATTTTGGTCGAGACTTGTTTTTTGCTAGTTTTTTCTCATTGAAAAAAGTGAATTATGCTCTTACCTGAACATTATACGATACGAAATACACTGGAATGTCAATTCTGAACAACTTCTGAGATTTTTTGCCGCAAAAACGACACAACTGGAGTATAGAACATCGTGTAGAAAAACTTTTTGATCTCTTTTTTGACAAGTTTCGAACTTCACTCCTTCGAGTATAATTTTCCCTTTTCGCAGCGTTCAAGTAGTGTTTGTAGCCCCATTTGTTGTTAAAAATGTCCAGCCTAACCCATTGTGTAGTTCCAGAAAATATCCATACCCCCCCCCCCCCACGGAAGGGACTGGAAATTCCAGGGGATAGGGGGGGTCATTTCTTCAATATTTCCAGTGGGGTGGGAGGGTACTAAAGCCTTGATATTTCCAGAGGGTCATAAGATATTCAAACCATATTTAATTAAAATTTGGAGCGGCGCAAATTTTACGATGAAAACGTGCACGATCTTGTTAACTTGTATGTCTGGAGTTTGTTTTACAGTCGCCCTATATTTAGGTATTTGATTGACATGTTTACGCACAAGCGAAGCATTTCTTACGGCCCGGGTTTTCCCCAATTTTGAGTCTCATTAGTCGCTGGGGCACTCTGTGCCTCCAGCGACTATAGGTTTCGGCTTCATCGCGGATTGTTGGTCACAAAATGACCTACGTCATTTTTTTTGTCAAACATTACGTCATTACTTTCAGTCGCTGGATTCAAGATGGCCGCTTACTTGGGAGCATATTTGGAAATAATTTCATCGATTTTGTGCATATTTTCTTCATTTTTTCGATGAAACTTAATAGTTTAACCATCAGCCAGACTTTATAAGCCGAAAGTCATCTTATATGAGTAAACTTGGAAGGCTGGAAGCCTGAAATAGACGACAAAAGTTCAAAATTTTCACAAAGTTGGAACTTCGTAAATTGCAACAATAATATTCGCAAGTTGCTGTTTATTTGGATGTAAATAGAATCTGCTTAATGGGACAAGGGTTTAATAGAGCTCCTTGCCTTGCTGGCTAATGATATTTTAAAAGCTCTCAGGACAGCTGTTATCTCACAATAGGTAGGCCCCTATTGTACAATTCAAACACACAGAACATATATTAATTTGTATAATAGATAAATTTGGCAAAGTTAGTTACATTGTTGCTATGCAATTCAAAACTTTAAATATTCATGCCTAGTTAGTGTTCTACAGTAGTTCACACATAGAATAGAACAGAGGTAACTAAGCATTTGATAAGCCCTATACACTATAAAAGTCATTAATTCATTCATGTAGCTAGATAATTCTAAAGCTTGGTTATCTTAATTTGTTCTACTCTATGCTTCAGTACACTAGAACAATGATACTTAGGCATGTGACTTATGTAAAGTTGTGAATTGGATATAACCAAACTTAGACAAATTTGTTTATCGTCTATAGTCTGGGGACTTGTTTGATGAACTTTGTTTTAATTTTTCCTTGAATCCCATTTTTGACAAAAACAATTTCATTATATGAACACATAAACTTAACAAACAAATAGCAGTCTTAATCTCAATCACATGCAGCATAATATGCAATAGCCCCAGCGACTAACGCTCAATAGAGCGTCTTGTTTTATATAATTACACTGGCCGCAGCCAGTGTTATAATTTGCCCTCGCTGGAATGCGAGGAATTTTTTCGGTTTTTTTTTTTTTTTGGTTGTCGCAAGTGTGACTTTCCATTGCGGCATCGTGGGCTCAGGATTGCGCAACTTAGCTAAAACATGCTCACGACTATTAATATTAGGACCAATTCTACACATTGTTATTTAGAACGAATTTCGTATTTAACTACGTTACAAACCTTAGACGCTGTAATTGTGGGAGGTATTTTATTATATTTCTTTGCGCATGCGCTTGAACTTTTCTGTGTTATTCGATATAATATCGTTGAACTCTATTGGTTTTGTATGGATTTTTATTGTGCCGTACTCTGAATGTTTCTGATCATGAAGTGACGGCCGTCAAGAAGTGAAGAACATCTACATGTTTCAAATTACTTTTTAGAATATTGCGATTTGCGATCATTTAATTTTCTTAGGCCTGTTTCAAACATCGCGCCTCTCATGTACCAAATGCATTAAAAACAATAGATAACGAGGCATTTCAGCTGATTATCTATTGTTACACTGGCCGCAGCCAGTGTCATAATTTGCCCTCGCTGGAATGCAAGGAATTTTTCTCTTTTTTTTTTTTTTTTTTGTTGTCGCAAGTGTGACTTTCCATTGCGGCATCGTGGGCTCAGGATTGCGCAATTTAGCCACTGAGCTATAATATTAGTGTAATATTATAGCTCAGTGAATTTAATTGAACATGCTCACGATGATTTAACCAATTCCTATATTTTGAGAAGAAAGCGACACCGTACGACTCAGCGTATAAAGAAATTGTTCTTACGGATGTCAAGTGTATTACCGAACACCAGTATTCTAGCGATTTATGGCCTTTGAAAATCAAGCGAAATTGTATTGACAAATCGCTCGCAGTATGTATTGTTATTTATAACAAATCACTCGCACTATATGTTTGTCTTTGTATTTGTAATGTCTAATGGCGCAATAAGGATAAAAATACCACCGTTTGATTCAGCATAAGAAATTGTACTTACGGATGCCAAATGTATTACTATTTATATACTATATTTGAAATTTAATACAACGAAATATAGCATTCTACGTCGATAATTTCAATCATAGTTTAATAATTATTTTCAATCTATAGTAATTCACCGTTTCCAGGTTTTATTATAGCTATATTGTAGCTACAATAAAGCTAAATTTGTAGGAAATGACATTTTTTAGTTATAAAATAGTATAAAAGAAAATCTAACAGACAATCGCTTTCGATACAAACTTGACCTGCCTTGACCTTGTTTATATTACCGTCGTTGGCAACTAACGATGAACAGTCGCTCATAAAAACATTGCCTATTCGCGTGAGAATCTTACGTTTTCTTATTTTAACATAATAGCTATTTTTCAAACAATATATTGATCTTAAATTAAACTTATTGAATCAATATTTAAGTTTCAGGCCTGTTGTACCCATGGGCGTACTGGGCGGGGGGGGGGGGCGGCAGCCCCCCCAGTTTGTTGGGCAGTCGGGCAATATTCGCTGAAAAGTCGGGCAATTTTGGTGTATTAAAAAAAGGAATGAGACAAATTCTGTAAATTTTGTGGTCAATTTTGTGATGTTTCCAAAATTTTTGTTAGGTTCCGGAAAATTTTGGTATGTCCGGAAAAAATTTTTGACCCCTAAAATGGTACACTGACCGAAATTTTTTTGGCGACTGGGGGGGGTCGCCAAAATAAAGAAAATTTTAGTCGGGCAAAATGCGACAAAGTCGGGCAAATGTCTTTCCGCCCCCCTAAATTTTTCCTTCCGGTACGCCCATGGTTGTACCAAAAGTTATAAGCGGTCGTGCATCATTACCAGGGCACAGGGTCGATCATACAGAAGCCCGATTTATTGTTTTTTCTTATGGTTTTCCAACGATTTTGGCGTGACCGTAAATGCTGACGCCATGGTCCTGGCCCGCCAAAAGTTCACCCCCTGATAATATTCAAAATGACAGACGTCCAGGGGGGGGGGGGGTTGGCTGGCGTGCACTGGTTGGGACGTGGCAGCGTTTACTCTAATCATAGTCTTTCAAAACATGGTTTGGAAACTCCGCTAAAGTCTTTGTTCTATCTTTTTGTTCGCGTTTATGCAGTTTTGTGCACAGTGCACAGTCAATGAACACATTGTATTTCAGTATAATGAACGAATCATCCAACAGCGACGTTTCAGTTCAGTCATTCAACCATGTTATTTAAATATTAATAAACCTAAAACAAAGGATGTGCACGGTGTAAGGTACGGCTCAACATAAAATCCCAGCTCATTATAACCACTTTGAAGTTTACTGAATTTCCAGACCATGTTTCGAAAGACTATGCTCTAATCGACCTTCTGTGTATCTTTGTTCAGTGCCAGGAAGTGACTGCTTCTGTTTACTGTACTTGCCGAGTGACAAATCATGACGAATAACACTTACACAGAAAACAATGGAGATGACCATGATTTCTGTATAGTATTCTGAGTTATGAGGTTTCATGGTTTTGATGGCATGCAACATGTACGCACTACGTACCTATTTTTTAGAATATTGCGATGGTAACCGCGAAGGCCAGTGTGAACGCCTGAGCAGGCGTCTTGTTACATTTGTTTGGCTCTGAGAGTGAGACTGCCCTTTGGTGGCACAGAAATATTATCTTAGATGCTTCCCTTGACAGGTAAAATCGCCTGGCATTAAACAGAGTAAATACTAAAGTAGGGCATACGTTATACAGTTTTTCGTCAACCAACTGAACCAAGTGTGGACCGATATCACGTATTAATTCGGCAACTTTTTCTACTAATATCACTGTTTGAAATGTAGAAGATCCCTCACCGAATTCTGCAACATGTTTCATACTGCGTCGCGGTGTCTTGTCAGGCCACCTTTGGATTTGCAAACTTTCTCACAGAAACTGCAAATCTGCAAGGAAACTGTTTCTTTCCTTCAATCTAGAGACGATGTATTGAAAGGGAAAATATTCATTAGGTAAATATCTATGTTTACAGTAATATATGTATAAAAATCATCGTCTAAATTTTATATTTCATACCTCTTCAAGCGCTTGTTGAACTTCAATCTGAACTTCATCCACGTCCATCTCGAGAAGCGCAGTTGTTTACTCTAAATCGTCCTCAAAGGTGAATAAGAGCTTTCTAAACGCTCAGTATCAATTTCCTCATCTATTTCCATGATTCCAAACCTTAAACGTGCGTTTTCAACGACCATTTCGAACGGCTTTAGCAGTATGACTTCGCTTCACTTGAAATTGATACTATACACAGCGTCAGCAATTTGGGTTATCACACATAAAAACGTCTCAAAAGTTGCCACTTACGATGGAGATTTGCGATAAAACGTATTCCACCCAAACCTCGTATAACGAGCGAAAATTAAAGATTTCTAAGTTGTCAATAGGGAATTGTATTATAGAATCACGCCATGATGCACTATAACTGTCACGTGATGCCCTCTATCTAGACTTTCCAAAGTCCTTTCCAGACCCTTCTATGGCGCGCTTCGCTTCCTCTGTGGAAAGGACTTTTGTCACTTGCAGCGCAACAGGTAGGCAATTTGTCGACGCTGACCAAAAATAGCGGCTCATTTCTTCTTTGAGTTTCCATTTTCGTGTCGAAGAGCAAAAATATAGACTTTCGGAGAATATTTTAGCTGTTTACTATCAAATATGTTTGTGAAACAGTTAATAATCTCACTAAGGAAGCCAACGGTTTCTGAAAAGCTAAAGTACGTCGAAATCAGCTTTGGAATAGACTATATTTTCACCGGGGAAACATGAACACAATGGATATTTACATCAACACTAAATTTTTCTGGTGCCTACAGAGCTAGTTGGATTAAAACAGATGTTAAGAAGTAAGTGAAAATGTGAACTTTGTGAATTATACTTTCATTAAAATGTTTCAGAAGGTTTGCTAATGTCAAACTACACGTGTGACAGAGCTGTCAGTATACCCATATTTCAATGTTTATGTTGAAATGACCTATCTTTTTTGAGGTATAGCTTAAAATTTAGGGTATGCTCATCACTTGAAACTAGCTTTAAATCAAAGTTTTATCTATAGTCTTTATATTATAATTAAAATCATTCATGGGAAAAATGTGCCAAAGGGTTGAAATTGCCCCTGTAAATGTACACTATTTTTGACATGCTTGGGTTAGTATTTTGAAAAGGTGTTCTGGAAGGAAAATATGTCTTGAACAATACTGGTTGACCCTTAAATTATAACTAGTGTTATGTAAATCACAGAAAATTGAAAAAAATCTGGTCCATACACCATATTTTGGACCCTATGAGATCCCGAATGGGGCTTATTTCAATGTTGAACCTGTTTACCTGGAAAAACTTAGAAAATTGAATAAGTCAAGAAATTGACTATGCTCATCACCCAAAACCAGGTTTTTCTAATTGCTTTTTCACCTGGGTTTGTGGCAATGCCAGTTATGCAACCACGAAAAATGCGCGCGGCACTTTTTTTCGACACTGAAGATGGTAACATTTGATGTTGTCATATATTGCCATCCTCTTATCGTAGCATAACTTAACTTATTTTAGTGAATTTGTTAAAGAGTTGTGTTCACTATATGCTTATAGTATCTAAGATTTTTTCATAGCATTATATGATAAATTTAAGTTCTGTTTTCTTTTATTTTTAGGTGATAGTATCTGTTCATTGCAGTGTTGGTATCAAATTTTGGACAAGTTTCAATTATTATTTCACATTCCTTTATTCAAATATCCAAATAAATGGAATATGACATCAAGCTGGAGGACTAGATCCTGTTTTCAAACTTGTTTTTTGTAAAAATAGAAAATAACAACTTATTCTGTGTTGTTTTAATAAAAACCATTGTTTTTGATATGCATATATTTTAATTTTATTCTTTGTTAAAATGTGTACCTGGAATACTGAAATCTTTCAGATCAGCTAACAATACCTTTATAACTTATATAGCCAAGTGTTCTATCTATTTTTGTTCAGATTAAACAAATAATGGGTAAAATATTAGATAAAATTTTTTCAAAAACTATGAGCTTGCCTGTTTTCAAAGCATAAAAAGCAATAAAATAAAGCAAAAGTACTTATTTTTTTATTTAAAACCTTTGGAATGCACAGCTTAATGTTTTCCACGAAATATTACAAAGTTTCCGTTCATTAAAATGTTGTTTTATCAGCTTTAAAACCAGATAAATCCTCGAAACACTCCTGATATATGTCGCCATATTGATTTTTTGCGCGCATGCGCAGACAAATTGCCTACCTGTTTTGCAGCGCGCCAAATATCACCGGTGGAAAAATCCACCGGTGACGTCATTGTTTACATTGCCGATTTGCCGAAGCGGTTTACATTATTATTGTATTACAAATTATATTCCCAGGTTTTCTTGTTGAACAAATGTCTACTATTGAAGCAAATAGAGTAAACAATGTAATTACAATTTTGTAGAACACAAAAACCATGTAAAAATACACAAACAAGCATTACATTGAGTAGGCTATATTTAAAAGTACAGGGTGTCGAAATAAACTTTATTAATACTGTCACGTACCGAAGATGCATCTAATGATTCTAAAATTTCCTCACTAGTTTCGGGTTTAGTTTGGGTTTCTTGATCTCGATTACTGATTATTAATACAAAATCATTTGTTGAGAAAACAACGCGTATTTTTACCGGATTTTGAACTCTGGCGACGTCTTCTCGTTGATCACAATCGCCGCCTCTCTGCTTCGCGGTTACAGCTAGTTGTTTGATTCTTTTCAATTAGATTAACTTCTATTACTAATAGTAAATCGCTCGTGAACTGAATCAACTTTCTATAAAAAGTCTAATAAATTACTATTCTTGTCGGCACAATTACGGCACACATTGTTAGACAAAACAACTGTCTAGATTCAATAAGTTTTTACATGCACTCGTTTTTGTTGATACATTGAACAGCTTACGGCGCTTACTTGGGTCAGTTATTTCGTTTCCACACTCGGTGCAAACTGTTTCATTCGAGGACAAAGAAATATCAATATCAAATATCAATTGTCGGTGCGGTGAAGTAATTGTATGAAATGTACACACCCCTTTTATGTCAAAATTATTCGCGCCAAAATTTTTAATGCGATTTAAATTCCTGCAAGGGACACAAGTCGACCACTCGCGACTTCGTCGCTCGGGTCGCGTGTTCCCTCCCCCGCGCCCTCCTTCCCCCATGGTCGACTTGTGGCAAGTCTACCCTCTATCGAGTTCAGCTCACGAAAGGGGGCGTTATCCTTTGAAGTTTGCCGGCCTTCCAAACCCTCTCATTATATTAACTATGGTTCAACCCCGGGGTTGAAAATGCTCCATGTAATCGGCCCATTAGATGTTTACTGGTTGAGGGTAGCCCGCGTGCAGGCCCAAGGAAAGAATAGTGGGGTTAGAGAAGGGTTTGGGATCAGTTTATCTTATAACTGGCAGCAAATTGGCGAATTTTTTGGAAGAATCGTCTATGTCTATAAACTTCTTAGCACCTGAAACGAGCCATATAATGGCATTAAAAATCAAGGACAATAGAATTTATTCGCTAGTATTGACCCATCATTATTTATGGTTGGTAGTTGATGATCATAGTTACAGTGCACCTGGTTTGTCAGGTTGAATTGTCCGTAGCCAGAGCGGCAGAGGGTACGCCTGAGCCGGAGTCTTGGTATATTATGGTTGATAGTTGCTAATCATGATTGTATTTATTGGTTGTATTTATATGGTCCAGACCCCCTGTATCCCTATTTACTTCTCTACTACACATTACACCCTCCACAAAAGTTGCCATTTTCAGGCCAGTGTGAACGCCTGAGCAGGCGTCTTGTTATCTGTAGTTTGTTGTGAGTTTATGCGGTAGCGTAGGACAGTAGCTAACTATTTGCCCAAAATTATGTACAAAAGCATGGTTTTATAGCTTTTCATAGCTTAAACTTTTAGTTTAATGGTATATTTCCCTTGAAAATCAATGCGAATTTTACAAGAATACATACTTTATCACGGCCTACTATAAAAGCGGAAGTGTGTAGGTTTTTACTGTAAGACTTGACAGCCAATCAACGTCGACCTGTTGTTGATCAGTCAAAAAGCTTTAGTTGATATACAGCAAGAAACGCCAGCCTGTAACAATGTTGTTGAAAACAGGCTTGAACAATGTTTTGCTGCCAACGTTGTTCACACTTGTCAACAATATTGAACAATATTGTTGAGCCCGAATCGGGTGTAACAATATTGTTCAATATTGTTGACAACTGTGAACAATGTGGGCAGCAAAACGTTGTTCAAGCCTGTTTTTAACAACATGGCGTTTTTTGCTGTATATATTAAACAAGTGACAAGCGAATTCAGTTTCAAATAAAATACTGCTATGACTGACCTTTTAGTTCATGTGAACGGCATTGTATCTTGCTCAGTTGTTTTTGAAGATACCAATATCACGCTTGAAAAATTCCGACGCGATGTTTTGACTGAACAAGTTGGCGACATTCTTAAATTTGACTATAAATTTACACGATCAATTCGCAATCAAAAAGTGACAATCGGAAATAAACAAGAAGCTATAATCAAGCTGTCGCAGTGTTTAGACAGTGCAGAAGAACCTGCCTTGTTCTTAGTTCTTGGAAAGAAAGACGACGTTAATTGTTGAAGTGGCCAATTCAAATGTAGAAGTTTCAGAGCCGCCAGTTAAAATTGCAAGAATTTCGCGTCAAGCCTGAATCATAGAATTTTCCAGTGAGCCATCGAAAACGCCGCGACAGCCGTCAAAGCCTTATTCCGCCGCAAGAATCAATGTACTTGCATAAATCTGCCATGTATATTTATATATTTGTACAAAAAAGTAAATAAAATACTGGTTGTTTTGATTAATAATTGTTTTTGATAAATAAAGTACAGTACTAGACAGTTAAATATGAGATTTCCAGGGGGGAGGTATAAAAATAAAAAGTAGTAAAACACTGGAATTTCCAGACGGGTGGGGGTCACTGTAGGGGTAGATTTGGAAAATCCAGAGGGGTAGGGGGGTCATAAAGGAAATCCCTTCCGTGGGGGGGGTATGGATATTTTCTGGAACTACACATTTTCTTGAAATTAAAACGAAACAGCAAATCACCTGGATAGTTTCGTTAAAATCGCTGTTTTTATGACAAAAATTCGGATTTCCCCATCTATTTCCTTATAAAAAAATTTCACGGTACTGGCTGGGAGGTTACGCATGCGCAGTATGGCCGATCATGTGTGTGACTTGTTTTGGCTTGAGTGAACTCTCTGTATATACTTCCTCTCTGCCTCGATAACCTGAATTTTTGTGTCACGCGTTCCACGCGCCACGCAAAATCTTCCAGCCAGTGCCGTCGCTGAAATTTCATAGCAAAAGATAGGGAAAACGCCGTTCGAAAGGTGAAAATCGCTTTTTTTTAAAAAATGAGATACCCATGGAAATTTTGTTCAAGTGTGGAATTGCATTGCAAGTTGCAAAAAAAATTGCACCGTGTAACATGGCCTTAAACAATTAAGTCACATATTATTAGCACTGATGAAGATCCGGGCTTACACTTGGTCAAGTTCAAATTTGATTGTCTCAAATACCGAAATACTTTAATTATGTAAATTATTAATAATGAATAGCATGGTTTCTCATGAAATTTGGATAAACATGCGAGTTTAGAATAGAATTCCTATAGGAATTTCCTATAGGAATTCCTATAGGATCCTATAGGAATAGAATTCCTATAGGAATTTCCTATAGGAATTCCTATAGGATCCTATAGGAATAGATTTCCTATAGGAATTTTCCTATAGGAATTTTCCTATAGGAATTTTCCTATAGGAATTTCCTATAGGAATTTCCTATAGGAATTCGTATAGGATGTAATATAGAATATAGAATTCTATTGCTGCTATTATATGTTTTTACTGTTTTTTATAGCAAAATACAAAACAAGTGTGACTCCAAAGATCGATATTGATCTACATTGATATATATTGTTATTGATCTTTGGAGTTACACTTGTTTTGTATTTTGTTAAAATACTCAGTGGTTATGTTTTTAGTATCAATGTGTTTACCTAGCTAGGATTTCTATAATTCCTGATGGTCCCTAATGCAAGCATTCCTATTGGAATTTTATCCCTAATAAGAATATAAGATACAGCCAATAGTTCGCACTTCTACTGGACGCCCTGGTGACTAGTTTACGTTTCCGAGCGCAAAGTTTCATGGGATAGCATCGTTTTATTTGTGATAAAAAATACGAAGTGGCTATATCTACGGGCCCGTAAACAGACTTCGCCAGGCTATATTTACGGCACTCTCGTTCTTAGTCTCCATACGGCCTGTATTTATCGTTATAGTCAAATTAAAACAAAAATAACCCTAACCCCAATCCTTCCCCTAACCCTAACCTCTAACCCCTAAAAAAATTAAAACTAGTCAGAAAAAAAAAGTTAAACATG